TAGCAGTAGTAGCAGCCGCAGCAGCAGCACTAGCAGTAGTAGCAACAGCAGCAGCAGCACTAGCAGTAGTAGCAACAGCAGCAGCAGCAGCAGCAGCAGCAGTAGCGGTAGTACACGCAAAGCAGCCGCAGCAGCAGCAGCAGCAGCAGCAGCAGTGGTACAGGTGCATGCATGCAGCGTCAGGTAGCGCGTTACGATTGATGTCCGCTGTGTTTTATTCCCTAATAATGATTGCTAGTTCTCTCTACAACCCATTCCCTCTCCAGGGAGCCATACTGGTCAGCGTGGAATGACCACGAGGTCAGCAGATGACCCACTTCTAACCACGAGGTTAAGTACCCATTACGAATATGAGGCAGCATTACTGCCATGGATGGAATCGCACTATAGGTAATGCACAGGTCTGCATCCGGGACGCAGACACTAGGGGGGGGGGATAGGATTATAATATACATATACATCAGTTTTGATTTCCGATATTTTTCCCGAGCAAACAGTCGTGTTGACTCAGCTAGCACGAAAATCGAGGTTCGTTCGTTGAATATACAATTTCGCGTGTTGGCATAGGGATGTGTATTTCAATCAGAGGCTAGAGGCTAGCATATAAATCCCGCGTGAAGTTAGCCTCATGGGCTCGTGCGCACAGACAGACAGACACACACACACACACACAGACAGACACACACACACACACACAGACACACAGACAGACAGACAGGCAGACACACAGACAGACAGCCATACAAAATTGTTCTGCATCTGAGAGATAGCGGCGACCGACGCAAGGCGATTGCTCGGTGAATTCGGCAGCAGAAGCGTGAAAGCAAACAGAGGGAAATTCTACTCAGAGTCGCTGTACGAACACATTCAATCACTGTACGCAACATTAGTGTGATGAGAAACCTCGTAAAAATCATCGGGTTGCGGAGCTAAATGAATGAGTTAGTATGATGGTGTACGTGTGCCTGCGGGCGTGCGTGCGTGTGCGTGGCCGCGATGACAGCAGGCATATGGCTTCACTCCTCGCCAGCGATAATTGCTGCTGACGCTTAAAAAACACGTTCGGCAGGACGAGGGGGGGAGGAGGGTGAGAGGGGTGGAGAATTCTAGATACTTCACAGCAGCGGGAGGAATGTGCGAACCATTAGTGGGTTGCTTTACACACCGCCGCACGGAGAGCTACTTGCCCGCTAGCGCGCAGGCATGGGGGTAAAACAGCGTTAGTGCGGATGCTGTGTACGCGCATGTTTTGCTCCTAAAACACCCCGGAGCCACCGAGCAGCAAAGCCCGCCGCCGCCGCGCGCGAGCCCACAGGCAATTAACGCCTAATTGCCCCGCGAATTTCCGAGCGGGAGGGAGGCTGAGCATATGATTAGCGTATTTCTTCAGCTAATTTTTAGGCTTCTCTAGCAAGCACCGCAGTTTCCCCTTCGGGAGGCGAGCAGAAGAACATCGAGGGAAGCCATTCAAGGAAGCAGCGTCAATGATGTTTCGGCGTGGCGGTGCCGCCGCCGCCGCTGATGGCCCGATGATGATGCGGTGATGCTGCTAACTACTGCTAGCTTCCACTACCGTAGCATGCTGGCCCGCAGACAGGCATGCCGACGGACACGTATATCACAGGCACTTTAAACGTTTCCATAATAAAATGATGGAAATTTATTAAGTACGAAATGTATTTACTACCATTTTGTGTTTATTTACCGTCATTTCATTATTCATTCATTATATGCAGATGGTCATGAAGCAATGTACTATTATGTTGGATGCCACGCAGGCAGTCAGGAAGTGCAACTGTCAGGAGATATGGGTGCCATCAAGGTAGACATGCAGGTGGGCATAGGAAGGGACCATTACCAAGTATATATGCTCGCACAGGGGCTGAAAGGTAGAAAAGCTAATCGTTAGGGGGCGGTCTATACTTTCCGTAGCGGCTAGGAAAATATTGTGCCAATCTTTATTGCGCTGCACAATTTTTCGCGAGGTTCTAGAAGAAATAAAAGTTACAAACTGGCACCGTGCCAAGACACGTTCTTACGGCCCCAACGCATAAGGAAGCCCATCGTCGAGCCAGAAGGTTTGGCTAATAAACCATGGCTGGTTTTCCTTGCAGTACCGAGATGTGTGCGTGCGTGGCTTGCTCGCGTGCTGATATATATGCGTGCGTACGTATGGCTGCGTACGTATGTATAGATATACGAATATGCCGGCAAAATGTATGGTTTCACAAACAGTAAATAAATCCGATACAAATACACCGATGCTCGGTGACGCCACCACTTCGCTGCGTGCATGCGTGCATTGATACACGCCCACGCACGCATGCACGCACTCACGAACCCCGCTATGGCCACAATATAAAGCACTATATAGTTGTTTACGTCATCGACAAAAGCAAAGTGCTGCTTGCCGTTACGGACTTTTGCAAGAAATCAATTCTGATTGCTCAATCCCACACATATTATGGAATATATATATATATATAGTTTAGCAGTTGGCGAGGAGAGGTAGGGTCAGTTTATATATATAGCCAGGCTCTACTGATGGGCAGAGTAGAGTAGTTTTAGATAGAAGCCCTAATATAGAATCTAACATCACACTGCACTTAAATTGACTACATCACGAATTTTCTATGGTGTATATTTGAAAAATTTTGTTGCCATTTTTTTACACTAAAAGTAAGTACTAACGGGACTAATTGTATCGTCAAATTCTTACCCGATAAGATTGTTTCTCAACTAGTTAAAAATCCAAAAAACCTGGACGATTTGATATTATGATCCTGACATTAATTGCTTGCTATGGGCTATGTATGAGTCACAAGTGTATGTTTACATCGAACTATATAGTAAAATAGGAAATCTAATGCAGCAATTTAACCATAAAAAGTGAACAGAATTACTTACCACTTGTGAAAAAGTAGAAATATCTTTTTTACTTTTACTATTTACGGTAACGCAATCACTTTAAAAATCTCATGTTACTTACAATCATACACGGAGACCTTTATACAAAAGTTAACATTTATATTGAAATCCTATCTGTACCTATATAGACACATGATTGCAACCTTTAATTAGAATCCTAAGCTTTATATAGAAACCTAACTTTCAATCTAAAAACTCTTCATAATTGAACCTCGCCCACACACACGGACTCATCACGTACGTGAATTAACTTGGAATAACTTTAACTTCAAGTATATATCTATATTAAGTCCATGTTTATTCATGGTAATTCAAGTTCAGTGACTTGAATAAAACTTGAATAATTCTTGCATTCATGTTATTTCAAGTTCTTCCAAGAAACTGGAATAATATTTTCACACAGGAGAGGCATTGCACACGCAAGCGCGCACGCAAGCACGCACACACACACGCACACACACACACGCACGCACGCAAGCACGCACACACACACACGCACGCACGCAAGCACGCACACACACACGCACGCACACGCAAGCGCGCACGCAAGCACGCACACACACACGCACGCACATGAAAGCACGCACACGCAAGCACGCAGCATCTTCCGCAGTAAGATAATCGTACTTCACTAATTGCATCTTTCTGCCGCGCAAACTTCGCGCTCACCGAATCCCGCGCGCGACTAAAAAACTAAGTGGCATCAACGCTATCCGAATCTTGGATTGCGTCGCTTCGCTGGAGCGTCAGTGAAGAAGGAAGGAGCGACGAGGGAACACGCACACTGCACGCTCATCGACGCTTTCACCGGGATATATATATATATATATATATATATATTATAT